TTTAATAATAATTTTTGCAAAAATAACAATGTCGAAATTGTCTAAATCAACTTGTCTAAATGTCTAAATGTCAATATATCAATATAATTTCGACCAACAACACTAGGTAAAACAAAAGCTACTATGAAACATACTATGCCATTCAGCCCCTCTTCTATACGAGCAAAAAATGTTGGAATTATTGTTGTTTGTGCTGAATGTGAGAAACCACGTCTGTTATTTAGTGCAAAAAAATTACAATTAAAAGAACGCAAGTTGTTAGAATCTTTTCTTGATACTATTTTATATACATGCGGAATGTCATTTTATAATATCTGTGATCTCGCTTCTACCAAATCAATCAACCCTGCCAAAAGTAATGAAAGTAATAATCACCAGAATAACAACCCAAATAACAACCAACCAAGTAACGATCGACAAAGCAATGACCAATTAAGTGACAACTTACCAAGCGATAATGCTGCTGACGATATGATTGCTAGATCTAATTGCCATTACATAGAAAGTATAGATGTTAGTGACGAAGAGGACATAAATGAGGAGGAGGATATAAATGAGTTGGAGGATATAAATGAAAAGGAGATTAATGAAGAGGATGAAGGGGGTATTAACGAAGAGGATGAAGTGGATATTAACGAAGAGGATGAAATGGATATTAATGAAGAGGATGAAGGTGATATTAACGAAGAGGATGAAGGGGATATTAATGAAGAGGAGAATGAGGATATTAATGGAGAGACATCTAAAGTTAGCTCAAAAGAAATTTCTACAGAAGATTCTATCTATAAGCTTTTCCAGCAAGTCTTCGTAAATGATTCTTGGAGTTGTGCTTCACCGATCGAAAAGCCTTACTATTCAGCTGGAATATTTCCTGTGGTGTGTTTTTGGTGTGGTAATAAAAATATAACAGAAACATCAAATAATGAACGGCCATTGTGCATTGGGTGCGATAGAAAGGCGTCACCAAAAAAACGGTATAAATGGCGCCCAAGTGTTAATAAAAAAGAGAAACAGCGCAGAACTACATAATATATAAATTACTTATAGGCTTTTATTTTTGTTTTATTGATGTCTTTATAAATAAATCGGTTAT